AGTTATAACTCAGAAGCTTTTATTTGCATCTAATTTTCCCCCCTTATCAGTGTTGTTGAATTTCTACTTTACTAATTTTTGTTTAAAGAATTAGCTTTGAATTATTAGAATAAATAATTAAAGAATAATTAGTTTTATTAATCTTCTCTATATTTTTCTATTTTACTGATTTCTGCCTTTATTTTTGCTATTTCCTCCTTGGGTTTGTTATTTTGCTGTTTTTCTAGTGTCTTTGTTAAACTCTTAATCTGTTTTTATTCCCCTTGTGTTTTGATAAATGAATTTAAGGTATAAATTTTCCTTTGAAAAATGCTTTAGCTGTGTTTCCTAAAACTTTTGATATGGAATGTTTTCAGTGGTGATAAATTCTAATTACTTCCCATTTTCTTTTTAACCATTAAATTTAAAAAATATTTTTAAAGTTTAATTTTTATCTTTATATTGGGGTATACTTGATTTGCAGTGTTGTGTTAGTTTCAGATGTACAGCAAAGTGGTTCAGTTATATACACATACACATATCCATTCTTTTTCAGATTCTTTTCCCATATCAGTTATTGTATCATAGAATATTGAGTGGAGTTCCCTGTGCCATATACAAGTCCTTGTTGATTATTCAGTTTTTTTTTTTTTTTTTTTTAGTAATGCAAGATTTAGTTTCCAGACATACAGACTTTTTAAAGCTATGTTTTCATTATTAGTGGCGTTAGTCACTCAGTGATGTCCGACTCTTTGCGGCCCCATGGACTATAGCCTTCCAGGCTCCTCAGTCCAGGGAATTCTCCAGGCAAGAATACTGGAGTGGGCATTATCAGAGAAATGCAAATCAAAACCACAATGAGGTACCATTACATGCCAGTCAGGATGGCTGCTATCCAAAAGTCTACAAGCAATAAATGCTGGAGAGGGTGTGGAGAAAAGGGAACCCTCCTTACACTGTTAGTGGGAATGCAAACTAGTACAGCCGCTATGGAGAACAGTGTGGAGATTTCTTAAAAAACTGGAAATAAAACTGCCATATGACCCAGCAATCCCACTTCTGGGCATATACACTGAGGAAACCAGATCTGAAAGAGACACGTGCACCCCCATGTTCATCGCAGCACTGTTTATCATAGCCAGGACATGGAAGCAACCTAGATGCCCATCAGCAGACGAATGGATAAGGAAGCTGTGGTACATATACACCATGGAATATTACTCAGCCATTAAAAAGAATTCATTTGAATTAGTTCTAATGAGATGGATGAAACTGGAGCCCATTATACAGAGTGAAGTAAGCCAGAAAGATAAAGACCATTACAGTATACTAACACATATATATGGAATTTAGAAAGATGGTAACGATAACCCTATATGCAAAACAGAAAAAGAGACTCAGATGTATAGAACAGACTTGTGGACTCTGTGGGAGAAGGCAAGGGTGGGATGTTTCAAGAGAACAGCATCGAAACATGTATATTATCTAGGGTGAAACAGATCACCAGCCCAGGTTGGATGCATGAGACAAGTGCTCGGGCCTGGTGCACTGGGAAGACCCAGAGGGATTGGGCGGAGAGGGAGGTGGGAGGGGGGATTGGGATGGGGAACACATGTAAATCCATGGCTGATTCATGTCAATGTATGACAAAACCCACTACAATATTGTAAAGTGATTAGCCTCCAACTAATTAAAAAAAAAAAAGAATACTGGAGTGGGTTGCCGTTTCCTACTCCAGGGAATTGTCTCAATCCAGGGATTGAACCTGGGTCTCCTACATTGTAGGCAGATTCTTTACCATCTGAGCCACCAGGGGCTAAAGTTTTCATTATTAATTTCTATAATTAATGCATTGCAGTCAGAGAACATAGTCTGTGTTAAACTGACTTTGTGAAATTTATCCAGACTTCTTTGTAATACAGTACTTTTATCAATTATTGACAAATACTGTGTATTCTGAAAATGAGAGTTTATCCTTTGTTTCTCAAGTATAGAGTTTATAAATTTGCTAATTTCTGTCATCTACATTTCTGTTTCTTTATTGTCTGCTTAAACTATTGATATAGTTTAATGTCAATAAACTGTGACATTTTATTTTTGTTAAGTTATCTATAACATATATATAATTGTTAAGTTATATATTTCTCTTTCCAGTTCTGAGTTGTGGTTTCTTAAGACAATATATTTATCTGTTTATGCTGGTTATATTTTCCGATCTTAGTTTTTGTTATAAATGTATATATTTATCATGAATTTTATATTTTCAGATATTAAAATTTTCATCCCAGCTTTCTTTTAGTTTATGTTTGCCTGGATATCTGTTTCTATCTTTTAATTTGACATTTCATATCTTTTTTAGTTAACATATTGCTAATTCTTACTTCTTAAATTTTATTTTGAAATAAAACTTGTATTAAACATAATATTGATAGAGAAGAGTGCGCAAAACTAATTTCAATAGCTTGATTTATCACACAGAAAAAATTCTTGTAACTACTACTTGAATCAAGAAAGGATACTCTTAGGACCCCAGGACACCTTTTGTGCCCCTTCTATTACATAATCCCTGCCTTCCCTTAAAGGTAACCACTTTCCTGCCATTTGTGATCCTTACTTCCTTGCATTTCTGTATAATTTTATGACCTAAGTGTACTTTGCTAAACACTGAGGTCTAGTTTTTCCAGTTTTATTACTTTGTATAAACAGATCATACCAGTTATTTTCTTTGATATCTGATTTCTTTCTCTCATTATAAGGCTGTGAGATGAGTTTCCCCCTTTTTACTGCGAAGTAGTATTCCATGTATGACCAATCCACAATTTATTTATCCACTTTCCTGTTGATAGAAATTTGGATTTTTAAAAACATTTTTGCTATTATCAATAAAGCTGCTAGAAACATTCTTATGTGTGTTTTCAATGTTTGTGTGCATGAATATTTGATGCATGTATACTTAAGAATAAAATTTATGGATTATAGGCTATACTGGTTAGCTTAGTAGATTTTGCCAAATGGTTTTCCAAAATGGTTGTCTTAATTTATACTTCCAGCAGCAGTGTTTGATTGGTTTCACTGGCTCTACAATGTACTTGCTATTGTCAGTCTTCTAAAATTCCATGATTTTGATGGATGTTCAATGATGTTTCTTTGCAGGTTTGCCTTTCATTTCACTGACTGTTAATGAGGCTTAGCACCTTCCCATACATATATTTACTAGCTTATATCCTCCTTTGTGAAATGCCTAAGACTTTTTTCATTTTTCTTTTGGCTTTTTCTGTATGTTTCTGATTTATAGGAGTTCTTTATACATTCTGGTATATAACCTTGTATAGGTTATATATACTGCACATATCTTTTCTCATTCATTTTCTTGCTTTTACAGTCCTTAATGTTGTCTTTTGGAAAATAAAAATTCTTAATTTTAGGGTTCCAACTTACCAAGTTTCTCGTTTATGATTAGACCCAACAAGGAAATGACAGTATTTTCAATAAATGATGCTGAGACAATTAGTTATTAATTTGAAAAATAAAACTAACCAGAATCAAAAATCAATTGCAAATAGATTATAGATCTAAAATGAAAGACAAAACAACAAAAAATTTAAAATAAAAGGTAAAATAATATCCTATGGCTGTAAGATAATAAAAATAACAGCAAAGAAAAAGTTCTAACTGTAGTCATCTTTGCAGTTGAGTCCTCTAATTAATGAATGTGATCTAGCCTTCCATTTCTTTAGATCTTCTTAAATTTCTTCCAATAGTGTTTTATAGATTTCCTCATAGAAGTATTGCATGTCTTTTGTTAGATTCATTCCAACAGGTTTGGGAGTTAATGATGTTGCTATATGCATATCTTCTTACAAATTTTATTTTCATGCTATTTGTTGCTGGAATGTAGAAAAGTTACTGGTTTTTACATACTGGGCTGGTATTTAGGAAGCCTTCTATATCCACTTTTAGTGTAAATAATTTGTGTTGATTCTTTTCCACATGTAAAATCATTGTTGTTGTTCAACAACGTGTAAAATCATATTTTCTGAAAATAGATGATCTTAATTTCTTACTTTTTAATTATTGTAATTCTTACTATTTTTAAATGAGCACTTCTGACACAATGTTAAGAATCTTTGGTATGGTCCTAATATCCAAGAAAAGGTTCAAGATTTTGCCATCAAATACGCTGTGGAGGAAAGAGCTTATTGAAAATGGTAGAGGACCTCATTGGTTTGCCCATGACAGAATTTGGGTAGGGCTTGGCTTGGCTTGGGAAGCCTGGCATGCTGCTGTCTGCTGCTGCTGCTGTCGCTCAGTCGTGTCCGACTCTGCGCGACCCCACAGACGGCAGCCCACCAGACTCCCCGGTCCCTGGGATTCTCCAGGCAGGAACACTGGGGTGGTTGCCATTTCCTTCTCCGATGCTGCGGTTTCTGGGGTCACAGGGAGCCAGGCACGACTGGGTGACTGAACTGAACTGAACTTGCTTGACTGGGCTGTTCATCTGTTGCATGTGGTTCCAGCTGGGGTGGTTGGGGTGGAGGACCCACTTCCAAGACCACTCTTTCAACCGCACATCTGTGTTCTTGGCTTCACCTGGCACTTTGTTCTCCTGGGACTCCACATGACTTGGCTTTTCCTGGTACAGCAGACTCAGAGTGAGTGGACTCTGTAAATGTTGTCTGGTTTCCTCAAGAGCAAGTGTTTCTCTTTCAGAGCTAAAATTCTACAAGTTGGAGTCCATGCATTCATACACATGGAAATTTAACTTATCTATTTAATTAACAAAACATTTCTAAATGTTGGACATAACCAAATTTCAGTAAAATGGTGTCAGGAATAGGTAAATAATTCCTTGCTTTCTTGTGATGACAAGACTTTTACTTTTGAGGTTAAAATTATCTAGGGCAGTGGGAGGGTGGCAGGTGCATATATAAGTTGAATGTGAGAAGATGGGTATAAAACTGTGTGTAGGTGAGGTGTGGGTGAGAAGGGAGTATGAAATGAAGAGAGCAGGCAGGCCACAGGAAGCTGGGCAGACCACAGGAAACTGGCTGGAAAAAAAAAAGCTTTACTTAATTAAAAGCAAGAATAAAACAACCCAAAGACAATGGAAAATCTCACACATAAGGTCTGTGAAGAGGTGGAAACCAAAAATAAGCACACATGTGTTCAGAGAAACACAAGTGGCTGGTCAATTACATTCTGCTCTCATTTCTGTGTTATTTCTCAGGACTTTATGTCGATGATAGTCTAATTGAAAAAACAATAAAAGAGCAAAAATTTCCTATAGAAATGAACATAAAATGATATTTTGTAAAACTTAGATATCCAGCTTTATGATTCCAGTAGTTTTAAAAACTGCTCAGTTGAAGTCTAAAGCATGTTAAGTTAGAGAGTCAGAATGATCTTACAGTCCGTCTCTGGTTTCAAGCTCAATAGGGTACATATATGTTTGTCCACTAGGTGTCTCTTTGCATATACATTATGATTCCAGAGACAGCTAATCTAGTTCTGAAAGCAACAGTACATGGATTGTGTCAACAAATGTCTCAACTTGGGGGTATTTAAGAATGGCTTTTGGCTCAGCCGGTAAAGAATCTGCCTGCAATGCAGGAGACACAGGAGATTCGGGTTCAATCCTGGTCGGGAAAATCCTCTGGAGGAGGAAATGACCACCCACTCCAATATGCTTGCTTCGGAAATCCCATGTACAGAGGAGCCCGTCGGGCAACAGTCCATGGGGTCACAAAGAGACATGCCTGAGCAGCTGAGCACGCGCGCGTGCGCACACACACACACACACACACGAGAATGGGTTTAATAATTTAGCAGCTCTTCTTAGATAATAAATAGATATGCATCTTGGAAAGAGCTCTAATACTTCTTTCAAAATTTTGGAGACATTAACCAAGAATTTGTCAGCAGACACAAAAATCGGGTACTTGCATCAAGGTTGTTGAGAGACTGATACAGATATTTAGGACTGCAACCAGGAAGTGAGCCCTACATTATTTATGAATGAGGTCTTGGCGAGAGTGCTTAATTTGAAAACAAACTGCGTTTGAGTCTCTGATGTCTCTTTCTAGGTACTATATTCCTTGCTGATCAGATCCTTCAAAATCACCCCATAGCAGCTGATCTGTAGCCCTTTGAGTGCATGCTTAGTCGCTCAATCGTATCTGACTCTTTGCAACCCCATGGACTGTAGCCTGCCAGGCTCCTCTGTCCATGGGATTCTCCAGGCAAGAATACTGGAGTGGGTTGCCATTTCCTCCTTCAAAGGATCTTTGTGACCCCAGGATTGAAACCATGTCTCTTATGTCTCCTGCATTGGCAGGCAGATTCTTTACCACTCAGCCATCTGGGAAGGTCAGCCCTTTGAGTAAAAGATGTCGATTGTGGTGAGTCACATAAAGCTTCTCTGAATTGATCAAATTTGGTAAATTGTTTAAGTTTACTCTAACTTGTCCTAAAGTAGAGGGATGGTCAGAATAAGTCAACAGATATTTATTAGGTGCCTACTGTATGCCTGGCCTGGAGTGTCTACAAGAATTATGGCACTCAATTTATTCTCTAAGAATGTGATGAGATTTACTGTTTGCAGAAAAATTAAGCATACTGTTAAGGAGAAGTTGAAAAGGCTAAGTTTATTAATAGAGGCAGCACTGCTGATATCCAAAGGACCCCAAGCTGGGAGTCTGAAGACTTGAATTCAAATTTTGACTTTATGACTTACTAGCTATGTGAAGTAGCTAGTCTATGAGTTCTGTATATCAGTTTCTTTATTTGTGAAAGTATAGGTATTGTTACTTTACCGAGTTGATATGAAGACTGCAAACAATTTTTGAGAATCCTGCCGAGTGTCACAGTATCTAAGAGAAGTCGCCTTTTTTTTTTTTTTGATAAAGGCTGTACCTGTGCTCAGATGCTCAGTCGTGTCCGACTCTTTGTGACCCCATGGACTGTAGCCCACCAGGATCCTCTGTGCATGGCATTTCCCAGGCAAGAATGCTGGAGTAAAGTGCCATTTCCTCCTCCAGGGCATCTTTCTGACCCAGGGATCGAACCTGCGTCTCTTAACCATCTCCTCCTGCATTGGCAGGTGGATTCTTTACCACTTGTGCCATCCTGGAAGCCCCTTGGTTAAGGCAGCCTTTCCTATTTTGATGCACAGCAGGTTAGCTCCTTATGGTCACGACCTCTGCTTTTGGATTGGGCCTCATGCACTATTTTGCAAAATCCTAAGTCCCATTGAAACAATATTTCCCAAGAAAGAATCAGCCAAACAAAAGAGGAATTTCTGTCCAACTCGAGAGCAATGGGTACAAACAGCAGGCAGCTTTTGTAATAGTTTTTCTAGCTTCTTTCTAGCCTGCAATGGTCCCATAGAAGAGGGCGCTGCTGCGTGGAGTTTTAGTTACTTTCGTGGAAAGAGGGTTGAATGGAAGGTTGTTGGGTAAAGGTTAATTAAGATGACAGGTTGCCTCGGAGCAGTGTAAACACAGTCTGGATATCACAGTCAGAAACATGTCCCTCTTCCAGAGAGAGAAAATATGCCTGTGAGTCACATGGAGAAATTTAGGGCTGCAGATTGTGGAAAGGGAAGGGTGATCATTTGCCATTCTTGTCTGGCCCATCTTAGCACAGAGTGTCTACTCTCTCCCCATACAGGCTGGAATGAAGTGAATTTAGGGATCAGGTGTTATTACTAGGAGCTGCTACTGTGGACCAACAGGGTGTATTTCGGGACACCCTGTAGTGGACCTAACAACTGATACTTTGCGAGAAGGGCTACCAGTGGCTCCTGTGACCTTGTCAGGGGCCTCGAAACCTTGTTCTTACATGATGGAGCATCCTGGGGCTAGTCAGATCTTTGGGGAGGTTCCTTGGGTTTCTATCACAGATCTTATAAATCCAGCCTCAGCACACAGCTAGTTTGAATGCTAGAATGACTGCCTCCTAGAAGTTCCTTCCATCTGTCACTGGTGTAGGAGAGGAGGCAGGTACTTTGCAGGCTTTATCTGCATTGGTGCACGAAGTTGCTATGATGGTGTGTGTTTTTGTGCGTGTGTGTGTTGAGGGGGTGGGTGAAAGTATATTTTGCAGGGCCCCTGCCTTTATACATAATTTGAAGAGTCCAAAAATCAGTGTGCTAGTCCAATTCTGGAGGGCTGGTGGGATTAATCTGGGCTGGCATCATGGAATTTAAGACAATCACAGGAACAGAATCGAACCCATAGGGATGAGTCCCACTGGTCCCTGGGCATCTGGTTGACCCTGCTAGCTGCTAAAGGGAAAATGCCTTCTTGGGAGCAGTGGGCGCAGGGCACACGTGGGCAGCTCTGGCTACACCGGGAGGGGGATTGGCAGGGCTCCAGTCGCTTGCCAGAGCCCTAGGGCATGCTGGGTTGCAGATCATAATCTGTGCATCTTTCGGGTTCTGGAAGCTGCAAAAGGACCTGTACGTCTGAGGTCCAAGATGTAACGGAGCTTCGTGCCTCACTAAGAGGAGGGGCCAGCAGCCTTCTGGGTTGGTGAAGGTTCCTCCAAGAGGTAGAAGAGGGGTTGTTGGTTATCGCTTACGGTTTGCCACCTGCTTGTTACTATGGTGAAAATGATCATTCGGGGATAGAGATTGACATTATTGGCAGAAGGAAGGGCTTTTCTCTCTTAGATTTGTGGATTTTTATGTCTAAATCGTGATTGTCACGGCTGAAAGCTTTTGTGGAAGGCAGGATGGAGAAGAAAAGATGAGGGCTGCCAATCTCCCCAGACGATGGATCACAGCATTTCAGTGGTGTTGAAAATAAAGTAATTTTAATTATAGTTTCTGTTTAAAAAAAGCTGCGACTCTTAAAACCATCTGTCGGATTATCCTCAAAGTGGAGAGACCGCAGAAAAGAAATGCAGTGAAATGAGTGGAAGAGCTAATGACAAAAAAGAGAAAATAAATGAAAGAAGAAGAATAAGACTTTTAAAACCTGTAGGAGAGATGGATTGGAACAGAATGACAATAAAGCTAAAAGGAAAAAGTTTGCTATAATTTGAATAAATTTTTCCCTTTCGTAAATTTCCTGGGCAAAGTATAACTACAGACAAGCCCACCCAATACACCCCTGCATGCATGCTCCCGGGGGGCGGGGGTGAAGGGGGGGGCATCTTGAATTTTGCTCCCTTCTCTCCTACTCTGCCTTAATAAGATATGTCCTGCTAAGGAGCAAAGCTAATGGATGGTTTCATGTCCTTCACTTTTTTTATCTGAGCAAAGATGCATTTTCTCTCCTGCTCCCATGGTGTTGCTGCGATGGACAGTCACTTAACAGAAGATGCTTCCAGGTTGGTGTCGTTACTAGTTAAGGATGTACTTGGTTGTCACACATTTTCCTTGCTCTTTGATGATTGAGAGTTCTGCCTTTAGGGTGACCAGGGTTTTCTGCGTCCGAAGAGCTCTGGCTTTTGGATTAAGAATGATGCACACTGTTTGCCTACAGTCTTGGATTGTCTATAAACCCATTTACTGTTCTGAGAGTGTCTTGTTGAATGCTAACACGGTAATTTTAAAGGATAAGCCTGTTGTGGACGACTCTGTTGGCTTTTAAACTTTTTGTTCGTTACATTGTTTTCACTTGAGGCTCCCTGAAAAAGAGAATAAGCCTATCCCATAGTTTCTTTCAAACAGAAAACTATCTTGAGATCATAATAAATTGTCTTCTTTGAAAGGGTAGGCATGGTACTTGTTTTACTGCATCATCCCCAAGATTATAATTAAAACAGTTACTTTTGGATCAATGGAAACTGTAACTGCCTTTAGTGAATTTTTTATAAGTTAAAAAATGCTAATTATCAACTGTCTGCTTTATCAATAGTGCATTTGTTGTGTATTGATATTCTTAATTTATTTTCTGGTTTTAAAATGATATGGGGCCAGAATACATATTTCTACTTAACTAGTTTACCAAAAAGTTTCTAAAATAGATTGCTAGAATGAAGTTTTATGTTGTTAGGATGAAACAAAAAGGAACAATTCTTCACCAGCATCTTAGCTAGCTTGGCCTGCTGCAATAAAATATTGTAAACAAGGGGCCTTATCAACAGCAGAAGTTCATTTCTCACAGTTCTGGAGGCTGGAAGT